CAGGGTAAAATCAGATCAAGATGGCGCCCGAAGACATGGAGAAAACAACCTTCGTCACACAGTGAGGCACTTTCTGCTACAAGGTTATGCCTTTTGGGTTGAAGAACGTCGGTGCCACATATCAGCGTGCCATGGTAGCCTTGTTTCATGACATGATCCACCATGAAATTGAAGTTTATGTTGATGACATGATAGCTAGATCCCAGACTGAAGAGGAACATCTTTACCATCTACATAAGTTGTTTGAGAGACTGAAGAAGTACAAGCTGAGGTTAAATCCAAACAAGTGCACCTTTGGGTGAGATCCGGTAAGATCCTGGGTTTCATTGTCAATGGTAAAGGTATTGAAGTTGATCCTACCAAGGTCAAAGCCATTCAAGAAATTCCTGCTCCCCGCTCCGAGCAGGTAGTTAGAGGTTTCTTAGGACAACTAAATTATATTGCCAGATTTATCTCCCATTTGACCGCTACTTGTGAGCCGATCTTCAAGTTGCTAAAGAAAGATCAGGTAGTAAAGTGGAATGATAATTGCCAGACAACTTTTGACAAGATTAAGGAGTATATCCAAGAACTTCCAATTCTGATGCCACCAGTTGAAGGAAGACCCCTGATCATGTACTTAACAATGTTATAAAACTCAATGGGGTGTGTACTGGGTCAACATGACGAGTCTGGTCGAAAAGAGTATGCAATATATTACCTTAGCAAAAAGTTTACTGACTATGAAACAATATACTCACTGCTCGAGAAAACTTGTTGCACTTTGGCATGGGCTACTCGCCGACTAAGACAGTATATGCTGACTCATACTACCTTGTTGATCTCTAAGATGGGTCTAACCAAATACATATTCGAGAAGCCTGCTCTCTCCGGAAGGATAGCCTGATGGAAAATGGTCTTGAAAGAATACGACATTTAGTACACCACTCAGAAGGAAATCAAAGAAAGTGTATTGGCGGATCATTTGGCTCATCAAGCTATAGACGACTATCAGTCTATGAATTTTGAGTTCCCAGATTAGAATATCATGCTAGTTATAGATTGTGAAGAACCTGGACCATATGAAGGACCTGAGTCAGGATCCTGATGGACTATGGTTTTCGACGGAGGTTCCAACTCACTTGGAAGTGGAATTGGTGTTGTGATCATCCCCCCCAAGGGTTGCCATACGCCCTTCACCGCTAAACTTTGCTTTGATTGTACCAATAACATGGCCGAATATGAAGCGTGTATCATGGGCATCAAAGTTGCTATCGATATAAGAATCAAATCCTTGAATGTATACAGGGACTCAGCCCTGGTGATCAGTAAAATCAAAGGAGAATAGGATACAAAGCACCCAAATCTCATTCCTTATCGGGATCATGTGTCGACCTTAATCCCATACTTCAAGGAAATCACTTTTGAGCATATCCCAAGAGAATAGAATCAGTCGGCAGACACGTTTGCTACCACTTCATCGATGTTCAAAGTCATATGGGACAAAGAAGCTCCTCGAATTACTATTGAAAGACTAGACGAACCAGCACATTGCTATGAAGTTTATACTGATGGAGTAGAAGAAAAGCCTTGGTTTCACAAAGTAAAAAAGATATCTTGAGGCTCAAGAATATCCCGAGGGGGCATCTATCAATGACAAGAAATTCCTATGGAGGTTCTCTGCTAAGTTCTTCTTGAGCAACGAAATTTTAAACAAGCGCAACCATGATTCAACTTTGCTTCGTTGTATAGACAAGAAGGAAGCTGAGAAAATTATGGAGGACATGCACGAAGGTGTCTTTGGTACTCACTCCAATGGATATACGATGGCTAAGAAGATTCTGAGAGCGGGTTACTATTGGTCGACTATGGAAACTGATTGCCATCATCACTCCAGAACTTGACACAAATGCAAAATCTATGATAACAAAGTACACGTACCTATGGTTCCTCTGAATGTCTTGACTGCTCCTTGGCCATTTGCAATGTGGGGAATTGATATGATTGGAGAAATTAAGCCTACCGCCTCTAACATACATCGTTTCATCCTCCTCGCCATAGATTATTTCACAAAGTGGGTTGAAGCAGCCTCATTTTCCTCCGTCACCAAGAATGTTGTGGCCTGGCTCATTAAGCATAACCTCGTCTGTCGGTATGGCATCCCTGAAAGGATTATTACCGACAATGGTACTAATCTGAACAATACTATAATCACGGAACTCGGCATGCAGTCCAAGATCAAGCACCACAACACTTCTCTGTATCGACCAAAGATGAATGGCGCAGTGGAAGCCGCCAATAAGAACATTAAGAAGATTATACAAAAGATGACGGTGACATATAAAGATTGGCATGATATGTTACCATTTGCTCTTTATGCCTATCGTACCTCAGTCTGTACATCAACAGGGGAAACCTCATTCTCTCTAGTCTACGGTATGGAAGTTGTTCTACCCGTCGAAGTCCAGATTCCTTCTCTAAGGATTATGAAGATGCATACTTAGACGAAGATGAGTGGATCCAAACTATGCTAGACCAGATAAGTTTGATCAAAGAGAAAAGACTTGTGGTGGTGTGTCATGGTCAGATGTACCAGAAGCGTATGTCAAAGCTTTTAACAAAAAGGTCAAGCATCGGGTATATCAGGCTGATGACTTGGTAATAAAGAACATCATCCTACCGCAAGGTGATCCCAGGGGAAAATGGACTCCCACCTGAAACAACTGGCTGAAAATCATCAAACAATGAAGTGGCCATCGAACATCTTTTATCCCACATGAATGGAAAGGTAAACATCGAGAAAACCTGAGAAGGGAGAAATCACGGTCTTGCGATCGAGAGATCAGGTAAGGGAATCTGTTACACGAGGGGAAGGTATTAGCACCCCACGCGCCCGTAGTACTCTACGGTATCCATTCTTGTTCTCTATCTTATGGGTGTGTTTAATCTATGCTTACTATTTACTATACTACTGAAGGGAGAACGCATGCAAAAGAAAGGAGAAAAGAATGTAGGGAAAATAAAATTATGCTCGCTTGGGCCCTACCCCAATGCCTACGTATCCTTTTTGAGGAATCAGAGCTACCGTAGTTAGGCTCACATGTTTTGTTTGTTTTGTGTTTTTTATGGACGAAGTTAATCCCGCCTTTTGCCGCAGCTCGACCTTTGGAGACTTATACGTTGGCACAGAAGTAAATTAATCATGTCCTTACCTGAAAAGGGTTTTAGAGAAAAGGTGCTCGAGCGCACAAAATGATTTAACTGGTTTGTGTTTTTCTTACCTTGAAAAAGGGTTTAAGTGTGATTAGCATGTTTTTGATTTGCTAAGAAAAAGATTTTTGTTTTAGATGCAAGGATGCAAAAAGGGGAAGAAAAGAGTCTAAGGGAGACTAGCCTATTTCTGACCTAATGTTATCATACAATGGTGGTACTACGTCATGGATGAAAGGGGAAGTTTCTACCTAATGTTAGCATGCATGGTTTGCAACCTAAGGTCTAACTTGCGTCCGAACGGAGCAAGCGCATCCTAAGGGAACATGGTATGTACAAGGATAAAGCAAGCAAGCCAGAAAACTCGAGAGAGTACACCTAAAGAGATCTTATCTAAGTTATCATGCCAAAGAAATTCTAACAAAACTATCCTATAGGGAACATGCAATGAGAGCGAAGTCGTGATCTCAATTTCTAAATTGAGTGACTCATCGATCAACAAGAAATAAAGGAAAGTGATAAAATCCTATAGGGAGCATGCACTGAGAGAGAAGTCGTGATCTCAATTTCTAAATCGAGTGACTCGTCGATCAACAAGAAAGTAAAAAAACACAAGCACAACACATATAGCAAATGAAGTGCGGAATGCATGCTACAGATCTTTAAACAGCGACTTCAAGTGCACGCTCTTTATTTCCTACTTCTCATGGTATCTAGAAAAGCAGTAAGTAAGCATAATAAAGCGCGAAGAAATATGAAGGTAGTGGCGACAACTACCAAAGCGAGCAAGTCGTCAAGAGTAGACGAAAGCACTGAAGAAGCAAGGAGCAAGCATCGAGCAAGCTTTACCAAGAAACAAACAGAGTCAGAAACAATATCCAACTAAGATAAAGGTAAACGCATGTTACAAATGCGATGCATAATCATAAGTTCCTGTGTAAATTATCATAAAATATCACATGTATCAGGACAACATATAATATGATATGAATTTCTCAGGACGATGAGAAATAAAGCGCGTCGCATCAGAAGCGAGCATAAGCCATATGCTTCGATCACATAACAACTTTTTATGTTACATGATCGAAAACATCAAAAATGTACCTTGCACAATGAATAAACGCGTCAAGAATAACGAGGCAAAACGGTGTAAAATATGAATAAGAACTAAAAGAAAAAAGGTATTTTTATTATTAGTTTTTTTGTAAGGAAAATTCTAAAAAAACTAAAGAATTAATTCCTAAAAATTTTCATTATATTCTACTATTTTTTATTGATTTTATTATATTTTTTATCATGTACTTTTATTGACAAAAACTATGAAAGAGAAATTATAATTAAAAAAAGGCAAAATGAAAATAAAGGAAACAGGGGGTGAAAACTGAATTTCATGAGGATGCAAAAATCAGGGCACTAGGCCCATTTTAGAAAAGTCCAAAAGCTATTTTTGTTTTATTCAAAGCTTCAAGTTACAAAAAAGAATAAGGAATGGGCCACGAGGGGTGTGTGTAGCGAGAGCAGGGCGCTGGGCCCAGGATGAGTTTTTTTTTGTACCAAGCTTCAGGCTTCAAAAAAAGAGCGTAATGGACCAAGCATGGGGTGTGTGCATCGAGAGCCCAACGATTTTGGTCCAGGAACATCAAATCCACTAAACTAAGTCTCATTTCCTACCAGGTTTTAACATTTTTGGTGTTATTATTTATTATAAAAATAAAAGAACAAATAAAATTAATAAATAAAAATGAAAAAAAACATATGAGAAACGATTCGTTTTAAGAAGGATAGGGTTCAATTGGGACATTTGGACATCCATGAACAAGGCTCTTCTTCTTCGAAAGGGAAAAACGACAGTGATTCTGCTCCTCTCAACCTTCGATCTGCAGCGGCAAACTGCAACCTTCTTCATTCCTTCCGCTGATTGCAGTGCCGCACGACTCCTCGACCTCGCCTTTTTCGGCTCAACCTCCTCCTTGACGTGCTTTGATCTCCGCCTACCATCATCATTATTCTCCAATCGCAAACCATCATGCCAATTCCATGACCATCGAAGCGATGTGCATCCGTCTTCGTCTGTTCACGAATCATCCTCATCTCGATCTTCAATTTGATTCGTTCAACCTTCGTGCGGCTTCGATTTGCTTGTCACACTTTCGACAGCTTCTCCCCACGGATTTGTTACATTCCAACCAATTCAAACACTAGAACACGATCTGATACGCATTTGAAACCGGCACGACTTCCTAATCCCAAAGCTTTTCGTTCACAGAGGCTCACACAACAGCCACAACGTCACAAAATCAAGCACGAAAGTTACGGTAAATGGAGATTCAAGATTACCTACCAGAGTAGTTTCGACGACTCTTCAAAGTGACGAAAATGATGAATACAGAGGTAATACTTCTTCTTCTCTACTTTTCTTCTTCTTCTTCTTCTTCTTTTTGCATTGTTGTTGCGTTTGTGTTGATGTTTAAAGAACCGGTTTCCATGAAGTGAAATTAATGATGATGATGATGCGGCAATATTCTTGTTTGTTGCAGATGAAGTTTGGAAAATTTGTGAAGCTTGTTGTGGTGTGAAGATGAAAGAGAGATTGTTAAGAGGGAAGTTTATGGTGATCTTTCAGAGAGAGGGAAGGAGATTTTTCTGGTGAGTTTTCTGTATATTTTTCTGTATGAATCTGTTCTCTCCCATCCTGCTTCTCTCTTCTTCCTTTTCTGTTATGGGCCTTTTTGTTAGTTTGTTGAGATGTTAGTTACAGGTTTGATGGATACTGTTAGGGGTTTCTTTGACAGTTAGTTGGAAATTTTTGTTATGATTCTGTTTTTGACAGTTAGAGGGTTAAGGGATTCTGTTAAAAGAGTTAGTTAGGATTCGGTTATGCAGGGTTGTTACAGGAAGTTAGGAAACTGTTATGAGTTTTTGTTAGAGGCTGTTGGAGATTATGGTTAAGCTGGTTAAAAGTTGGAAAAAGTTCTGTTAACAGTTAGAGCAGTTAGGGAATTCTGTTAGGAGTTTCTGTTTTCTGTTGGAAATTTCAACTGGTTTTGTTTCCACTTCATGATTTCTCTGTGATTAATATGCAGGGTACGGTTGGTTTCTTGCAGGTTAACATATTATGATTGTAATGTTGTGGTTCAAATGCGATTTACGCTTGGATTCGTTTGGTTTATCTCGGCTGAACTTACATATGGAGTCTGCTTTCGTTGTTGCAGGTTTGTTACCTTTGGTTTGTGATGCCCAATTAGTTGTCTTTTGGTTTTTCATAGTAGGGTTGTTTTGTACTGTTTGTTTTAAGCTTAGTTTGTCATGGTATTTGTCAGGATGCAAGCCAAGGAGGAAGAACATGAGACATGAGGTCATATTTAGCAAAGCATGACACTCTCGCACATGAAGAATTTTTTACTGTTGAGTATCGGACTGAAGCTGAAGTGGAATCTTGAAGATTGGATCAAAAAGTTAGTTTTTAGGAATCCATTTAACTTTGGTCACAACAACATTTTCTTGTAACTTCCTTAGCGTAATGTGACGTATTTGGATATTGTACTGCACTTGGAATATGACTTTGTAATCCCTTCCCAAATCAAATTCAAAATTTTCTATTTTACTTCTGTTATGCCTCTTTTTAATTTCCTAGCTTTCCTTCAATTTTTGCAACATCTATATGAATACCAATGATGAAAAGATGAAAGCTTAACAAGTTCCAATAAAGATCTTAGTAAAAACTTTTAACCTTGAAATGATGCTCCAATCCCGCCATGCCTCCAATCTTTGCAAAAACCAAATTGACAACTTGGAACCTAAATAACTTTGATGAAACCAAACTTAAATCGATACAAACCAATGAAATTTTGATTGTATCGAAATAAACCTCATACAACTTAAAAAATTCTGAAACCCATTGATATCCGTAAGCACAATTAAAATGCATCCTGATTCGAAGAATAAAGCCCATATGTTGAGAGAGAAAAACCCATGATGATTACACAGCCAAACCCTTCATGTTTCCTTGATCCCAATGCTAAAGTTATTGGTTAATGATTCATGATGCGTTAGATGACCTAACGTAAAAGTATGCAAATGAAATTTACGAAAAGCAAAAGTCAGACGATCCTTATAAAAGAGTAGGACAAATTTGGGGTATTACACCACCTACGAAAGGCCATTTGTAGTCAAGAATATATTTTCTGGCGGTGCTACGATACTTACCACCATGGACGGTGAAGACTTTTTGCACCCTGGGAACGCAGACATAGTCAAAACATACTACACATGAAAGAGACCCGCTAGGTTTACTTCCTAGGCAAAAATAAGGGCATCCGGGTGAACCAAAAGGGTTCGGGAAAAAATCAAGGATATATATAAAGATTATACACCCGGCAAGTCGAAAACCTTAAAAGACGGCTTAGGCAAGAAATGGTATCTCGGTAGATTGAAAACCTGAAAGGAATGTAAGCCCATCTCCGACGATACTCTATCATCTCTTTGAATGGAATCTTTAAGCCCATTCAAGCAATACAATCAACCAACAGTGTTACTTCTTGCACATGTGAGTGCAAATTTCTGGGCACTTAAGTGTTCAATCTCCTTCCACCTCCGGATCACGAATGGCGAGCATGCCAATATAACTCCTCTGGTTTAAGAAGATTGAACAGGGGAAACTTTTGTACCCTAAAATTTTCCCTCTCATTGTTATTCAAGACATTCTCTTAGGGTCCTCAAATGCCCAAGGTTGCTCAATAATCTATCAGATAAATTCTCCTCCTAAGCAATTGACCTACAACTAGGGTTTTGTGTTTCTCAAGGAAGATTGGGTTTTTAAAGTATCAAGTGGTTTCCATGGTTCCTCATATGTCTTCAATAATTCTCATATCAAGTTTCAAGCCTTGCAACACAAGTTTTCTTAGTCAATAGCTCAGATGACTGAAAATCAACTGAATTAGACAAAAAGTCAACCGTGGTCAACATACAGTCAAACCTCAAGATTTTTGGTTAATATCAAGATTTTAAATTCATATTCATCATTTGATCAAGGATTGATCATGATTCATCAAGGAAACTCTCAATTCATCAAAAGTCAAAAGTTACCAAATTAGGGTTTTCTTAAGGAGAAGTCAACTGAACTTTGACAAAGTATAACTTTCACACGCTTCATCAGCTTTTCCCCAACCAAAGCTCATTTTTGAAGGAAATTCAATTCTATACAACTTTTTCTCTCTAAGCTCAAGTCCAAAAAAATATTCATTTGAGAGATATGAGCCAATACATTACAGTTCATTTCAAAAGTCAACAAAAGACACTTTTTGTCAAGGAAATTTACATTAAGATATAATACAAGGCTTACTAACAAAGGTCCAAGCCTATGCTATTAACCTAATTTCACCCTTATATAATCTCCATTATTCCGACACAAAAGCGACAAACACTTATAAAAAGAAGCTTGCCCAAAAATCTCAATTTTTAAGAACTCTAAAACAACTTGAAACCCTATTCATAGTCCCTTTCACTACAAACTAGCCAGTCCATTCACTTCCAGGGAAGCAAGAGGGTAAGGATAGATCGATTTCCATGATCAAAATGGGATAAAATCATATGAACATTCCTCATTGGTTTTATCATTGCATGATTTTCATATTTGTTGTTTCATGATGTTTTTACGCATACTAATGTTATTCACATGTTCATAAGGTGATGATATGCAGGAAAAACCCATCGTGGAGGTCCCATGCTGGCCAAATCATGAACCACCATCTTTGTACAGATCGGTGTTATTTTCACCATAACCCAAAATCCAGCGTGAATTAGCCAAATAAAACCATCACATTGAATTCATAGGGTTGGATTTAGGGGGGTAGAGCCCCCCTTGGATCTCTAATACATGTTATTTTGCTGGAAAGAGAAATTCTCTCATCGAAGAAGACGACTGGAGCTAGGGCTCTGACGTCTCTTTGATTCAGGTGTTTTGCTTAATATTTATTTTATTCGTTTCACATAAGTTAACAGATGTATTACCGCCTCAACGATTGAAGCGTGCGCGATAAAAACTTACTATGCCAAGGCGTGGGTTCGATCCCAACCTTTTGGAATTTTGACATTTTTTGTGATTTATTTGTTTTGCAGATGATAAAGCACGCTGGTTTCCTCTCCTTGTCACCAAGGCGCGTCTGGCCTAGTGGTGAAGGTTTTGGTTGGAAGTTCGGAGGACGTGGGTTCAACACCCACCCCTACCATTTTAGTTATTTTTTTTCAATTCTCTTTTCTTCTTACTCTTTCTCTTATTTTCTTTTATTTTCACAAAACCATTTTCAAAAAGCTTGTTTGTCATAAACCCTAATTAGTTTTAGGTTTTTTTTATTTAATCAACCCGAATTAATTTTTTAGGTTTTTATTTTAATTAATTAATTTAGTTTTTAGGTTTTTTTCACTAAACCCTTTCTTAAATTAAAAGCAATTTAGGGTTTTTAGGTTTTGACTAATTAATTTCTTTTTTAGTTAATTAAAATTAATTAGGTTATTATATTAATCATCAAATCTCTTTTCTATCAAAAATCACCAAAGCAATTTCCTTTCCCTTGTCCTTTTTATACCTTTTTGCGTATTTTATTATTTTCACATTTTTTCGATTATTCTAATTGCTCATGGTTTGTAATAGATAATTAGGGTTTTGCTTTTCCTACATTTTTATTACTTGTACCCCCCATTCCCGACGCCCTGTAATAGCATAGAATTTTACTTTTTCGCACTTATATTTTATGCCTAGCATATAATTGTTTAGCTAATAGGATTGTATGGTAAGATTAAAAGCAAACAGTAGCTAACCATAATCAAAGATAAACAATACTTGAGACACAAATCACTTTGCACACCCGCACCTCTAGGGTAACCTCCCTTGTTGCCTCAGAAACACATTCATGTCCCTCGAACATGGGGACGTTTTAGCATTGTCCCTCGAAAACAAAGGTCGTAGTCCCTCGATGACCCTTTCCATGCTGCCTTCGGTAAATGATCTAGTCCCTTAAACAAATTGCTAAAGCGCCCCTACGAGTTGCCTTCTATGACTGTACGATTACCCACACCTTCACATCCAACGATGGGGATTCCTACTAACTAATGGTAGAATAGAACTATATAAAGGAGAAGGAAAAGGATAATAAAGACTTTGAGTAGGTAGATAGTTCTTAATCTATTGCTCACAAGATTTTTCAAAATAAAAACATCTTTTCATAAACACTTTCTCAAAATATTTTCAATTAAATACTTTGTACACATTCTCGAGGACATATACGAGGATCATTACAAATTTTTCCTTACTATTGGTATTTTCAAAATATTTTCAAACACACAATGTATTTTCAAAAGTGAGCTAACAATTAAGAGCTCGTATTTAACTACGGATGAAAAGGGTGCTAACACCTTTCCTTTTCATAACCTACCCCCGAACTCAAGAAAATCTCAAGGTCTTTCCTGTTCTTTTCATCCTTTCCTTATTGGATAAAAGAAAATTCAGTGGTGACTCTTGCTATCCACAACATTTGCGATAAAACGCAAAAATAAGTTAGTTCTACCACTGTATTACAGTGCGATTAATAATTATCGAACTCAAATTCTTGTATGATATATCAGTTGTTTACTTATAATTATATAACCTTTTATATTGTTATGATATCTCACCCTTACTGTTTGAATGTCGCATCCACGTGGGTAACATGCAGATAGCCAGGAGTAGTGCAAAGTCACAGAATCTAGAAGAGGTTGCTTTCTCTTATTGAGTGAGTGTCATTGCTCTAATACGTAATACAGGGGGGTGAACACTTGATTGTTTTATTTAATTGATGTCTTTTTGAGGATTTTGGGAGTGTTGTAGACTCTCTTTTAATTTATTAAATTGTTGATTTTATAATGGTTGAAGATTTTAGAATAAATATGAAATTCTTTCCACTGCGTTAATAAAGTTGAAGTTTGAAGGTTATGTTGAAATATTGTCGGTTCATCCTAAATGTGTGTTATGTATCTGTCTTATCTTAACTGAGCAAATTTGAATATGTTGGATAATGTGACATCCTATTTTGGAGTTTTATTTTACTCTGATTTTTATAAAATTTACCGTTGGGGAAATAGGGTGTTACACCTAGTCTTTTTCTCCAATCTATGTGCCCTTATGAAATATTATTCAATTCATTCCCTGTCATAATTCATTTGAAAGTTTTTGGCAAGCTCTGTTTTCCTACCACACTCTAAGCACATAGAACAAAATTTTAGCCTCGAGCTAGAAAAGTTATTTTCTTAGCTTCAGAGATGGTACAAAAGACTACTTGATGTATGACATAAAATCTCATGACTTGTTCGTATCCAGCAAT